ATGTCTCTATCAAGGTCTTATAATTGAATAAACTTTAATATCTAGCGAATAATATCAAAATAAATATGAATTTCGTATAATTTCTTCAATAAAATGAAGTTAAACCACATCCAACATGATTTCTAGATGACTTTCTATTGCTCATAAGCATGCAAGTAGACAAAATAAACCTGCCTCGTATTCATGAGCACGGAAACCTATACTGCCGAAGTCAGTCAGTCAGGCGAAGGCTACCGAAAGTAAGCGAAGAGGTCGTGGGAAGAAGACGCGCTGTAGAAGAGCCTCTAAATTGTCTATAGGTTCAAGGGCAATGTGGCAAATGAGCGTTTCATGCTGTCGCTAAGACCGCTAACATTTTTACCGAATCTTACGACTGTAAAAATAATTCCCTGGGCTAGTCAGTAGGGATGACAGCAACGATAGGATGAATCGAGAATTCTGACTTTATACACCAGATAAAACTAATCAAAAAATTATTTCTAGATTCTAGAAAATACGTTTTACAAGAAGACAACATTACTAGCAAAAACGCACACAAACCATGGGCCGCAATATGGCAATATGAGCAGTCTACATCAGCTGATTGGCTACTTTAACAGTAATGTGTTGCGGTGAATGATTGCCGTGTAGTTTCTACGCTTCAGCAGCATTTAGACGTCATACGGTATCAAGCAAGGTAATTCTATGATCTTGAGTGTGTTCGACTACGCATTTGTATTCGATTTAATAGACATTCGCTCATTAAATCAGGGTGAAATGTAAAGCGCCTATTTTTCACTGAAAATTTTTAAGTAAAATTCGAAGCACCGAATTTCACACTCAGGCATGCCATTTATCCGCTTATTTCACTGTGTATAATAGACTTGCAATAGTATCCAAGAACTTTGGATTTCAACCCTACACACATAGGTACACATATTTGAAACTATAATTATAAATCATTTTACATAAGAAGAATGTCTAAGGCAAGATGATTACCAAGCAAGATCGTGAGCGATGAATACTCGAGGCCTAATCTTTGAGAATTAATGTCTCGGATTGACGCTTCGTCTCAATGGACCCACGAGGATTAGCTTTTCATCATTCACGGCGAGGAAGGCAGAGATTTCAGCTTAACTTTATAGCCTTTAGCGCCCGACTAATTCATAATTCAGGTAGGAATGGCATTATGAGCAATGGATGAATAGGTTCATTCAGGCAGTTAAGGGTTACCTGCCGGTGGAAGCATAACCCGAGTCGCACCTTGACACAGAAACATGGAGGAATTTGTACGACCCAAATCCGCGCTTAGCAAACTTATTCAATAAATTTTTATTTAAATGTGTGTTTTTAAACATTTACAAGAATAGAAAAAAACATGTGGAAAATTAGGGAAACCGCTGCTTTTTTTGATTAATTACCCACACTTTTTAGCCATTCGTAATTCATTCAAAACTTCAACCATGCAATATTTATCAAATGTAGTTGAATAATTAAATAATTGCTGAAAAGTTCTCTCGCTGCAATGAAGAGATTTGAAAGCTAATACTTAATTGAACACTACATATCGTTAAAGACTTATTTCTAAACAAAAAATCTTTAAACTGGAGAAAATTTATCTATTCGTTCGGTGAAAAAAACAATAAGTGTTGCCACTTACAGATTCAGATTCATCACTAATCGAATATTTAGCGTGCCGATACGAGATCGCCTTCTGCTCACTACTAAAATAGCAATCCTCGATGTGCTTGCGGCATTGATGAAACTATTCACACATATCCACCAAGGCTGGAAGGAAACTTTAATAGAAAAATGAAAAGGTACAATGTTAAATCTACTTGTTTTAACATTGGATGCAAACTTGTGTTTTTAATCCACGAAAAATATGTTATTTCCTACTCTAATCCCCATGATTTGAGGATTAGACCTGTCGCTTTAATAACTACCTACATAACTCTGAGCTTTGCAAGCATGCTAGGCTATAACGTAAGCGCTCCTCAAATTTCATGCGTAGATACGAAAAGAAACAACAATATTTTAGTCCGAACTTGGCTGCGGTATAAATATTGCACAGGCACACCGGCAACCACTATACGGACAGCACAGAAAAGTCGGAGAGAAATCGCGACATCGAAAGCCTGGCGAAGGTACGAGAAGAAGCGCATGACGGAGGGTACAGGATTCTCATAAATTTCCTGAAATGGTCGCTACTCATATGATGCTCGTTAGGTTGTGTTTTCTGAGCCATCTAAAATTTTGTATTATATTATTTTACATATATACACATGACTTCAACTCTAAGATTATTGTATTTTGCTAATGCGGGTAATGTTTAGTCGAAATCCTATATGTGCTACGTGTGGTTAAGTAGGCAGAAATGACGGCAAACGTCTGCCAAGGACTGGTCCAGCTTAAAAACAATATTCAGTCTCCCTTCATGAGTAACGATATTTTAAATAACTTTGAAGATCAACCTTGATGCCGTGAGTTGATTTCTTTTGGCGTATTTAAAAGAAGAATTGAATTATTGAGAAAGCAGTTGTTGGAATTATTCATGTTCACGAATATGAAGTGAGATGATCCAAACTTGACCCATTGTCTACTGAGAGTAACACTCGTTATCAAGCCTTCAGCTTCAAATAGCGTTAATGTATCCTTTGACAATCGGTTAATTGCCTCCACTGAACTAAAGGAACAGCTTCATAAATTCGATTGTCTCAATTCGGTCTTTAAATTAGAAGCCGGCGTTAAAATTGTGGCAATGAATTTGCCAAGTTGTCACCACACATAAAAGCTTTCTACTCGAATGCAACAAGTGTACAAAAACAATTAATGCGCGGTCGTGAAAATCTCAGAATGTTTTGAATGTTTTTGTTCGTTTTTTTCTAAATGACCTACAGAAACATGACATTTGCAAGTCTAGTCTGAAGTTCAATCGCTTTTGTGGAGCTCGGTGGCTTTCATGAGCAGCGAGTGCGCCAGACCGTGCTTGGTGGCCTTGCCGTCCATTGAAAGATGCAGCACCATTATCTTCAGTCGTTCAGCACCAGATTCATTAATTGTTCCGAAACTTACGTACAGAAAATTCTTAACAGTATAAAAATGAAGTAAATTGATAATAATATAAGTATCCTCTAGAATTAATTGTTTCGGAAATTAATTTTCAGAGATATTCTTTTGAGTGGAAAGTTTTTGGCTTATTTAAGGCTGATCTAATTTGCCAACAATCATAGCGGACGAAAAATCGCAGAGTCAGAGGAGCAAGCTCTCAGAATACGAGCATTCAACATCATCTGAGCAGTCTGCATCAATGTGTATTATGTATTAGGATTCATTAAACATTAATGTTGTTTCATAATCGCAGAGCTGAAAAGCGCTACAGGAGACTCGTAAATCAGAACTGAAAGCTAGCGCGCTGAGTGACGGGTACGCGGAGTGACGCAGAATATCTAGAAAACAACAACTAAGTTCATTTGAACTGCAGAATATTAACAAAATTTCCAAAAAGGAAGAAAATCTTTGAACATCCGGTCGATTCAAGTTAAGCAATAATTTTAAAACGATACATTACACAGCTCGTAGAGGTTTAAATCTTCATAAAAACTGAAACTTCAAGGCAATTTTTACACGGTATTAACACGGTTTCTTCGTTCTCATTGTCTCGAGTAACATTTTCTTAAAAATAATTGTAATATTCCGGTTAAATTTGTCCGCTATCGCATGTGCGGTAAAGATATGCTACCCACAGCTGATCGATAGAAGCCGCATTAAAATCATGCTTACACCACGCAAAATCATCACATAGCAGGTGAGCAGCGGCTTGACCGTCTTATTTCTCTTGCTTTTATTTGGCGATGCGATAGCGGAAAATTTTAACCGGAATATTACAATTATTTCTATGAAAATAATACTCGAGACCTGCGCATACAAATTCCTGGCTGCTGTCATCAAGTTTATAATAAATAAAGAAAGATTTTGTGCCTAATGAACAGCGTTTGTGTGTTTATGAAGTCTTGGCGCAAGAGGCCCAGGAGCACTAGACGATGTGTCATGCAGAAAAATAAATGAGTCATAGTGAAAAAATATAACTCAGTACTCACTGCAGTGAGTGACAGAGAGCGCATTTTCTCGTCGACGAAAACTTGAGGTCACGGACGAATAGACGGACAGACGGACATGGCGAGCACAATAGTGCATTTTTTCCATAAATGAGAAAATGCACTAAAAAATGCGTCGCTCTTTAGACAAAATCTCATTTATTCGGTGAATTTGGCAGTCTTTCATGATGAGACGCAGTCAATTTGACGACCGCGTGTGTCGTCACACACGCGGTCAAAATAAAAAATATTAATGTGTAGGACGAAATCATGTATTGTGTGGATGGCAAATTAAAAGATATTCCTGCGCAGGAAACTTTATGGAATCGAAAGCCATTTTTTTGAGTACCTGAAACTCCCAGCTTAATTTATAATAATTTATAATGATAAGTGAATGCAGAGTCCTCAGGTATCTGGATGCGTCGATTCCGCTCGCAACCAGCAGGTATATCTTGCACAACTTACACTCGAGTCAATGATCACGAAACTCACTCAGTCGTGAACCAACCACAACCGAGACACACTATCAAAATTTTCAGTGCCTGTAGTCAATAGTATAGAATCAATCAGAAGTATCGTTGAATTTGTTCATGGTGGAAGTTTATTTGGTTCCGGATGGAACAATAATGATCGTTTATGGCATCACATATTTAATTTATATCTTGAACGGTGGATGAAACATTGCTTCGAATTCATCTTGCGCAGTTGGCAGACACTCTTCAATGAACGATTGCGTACGATTGAGAACTGAATCAGCGCGGTTCAAGCTGCGAAACGAGTCTGCAAGGTTCACTGCATCTCGCCGAATGTGCAACAGAATACAAGCTTCGTCGGAAACTTACAGAAACTAAATTCTTCTTGCTTCTTCGTCAACATGAACAAGTATGCGAGAATCCTCAGGTATTAAAAAAATTCATGTCTCACCTTGGATGGACTGGAGTGGCTTTGTAAAACCTTCTGACTCAAAATTAGTGGATGAAGATAGAAGTTATCCTTGGCCGCAGGCAAGGAGAAACATTCACCACAGTTAGGCACACACTCACTCACACACGAATAGCTAGGCACATGTATGTCGGCACTAGCGTCACATGTCCCGCATCAACTAAAGCCCCTTGGCCTCTGAGGGAGGCAGTAAATGTCGAAAGAGAGAGTCGTGCAACGCACGCCTTCTTTTGATGACGTCAGCTGAGCTATTAGGTTCTAGCCAATCATATTGACAGAACCTGAGCTCAGTCTTCTGCAATGATGTCACCGAACAGACCACAACCACGAAAGCCAATCATAGTGACGGGATTCTTATAGCATATTCTTCTCTTATATATAAGAATACAAATACTCATCATAGATTTTCATTGTACAAATTTTCGATTAATTATACAGTTTATATGTGGAATTCAAGAAAATTTTAATTCGATTAATGAATAGTAATTCGCTTGCAACTATGAATTCGAAACCTAAATTAGAAAATATTACATTAGGCAGCAACAAAAATTAAATATTTTTTCACTCTAATTTTTATTGTAAAAATAGTCCATTCTCATTTTTTACATTTTTCACAAATACTTTAAAAGTGCCGTTATGGATAATTGTGCGTTATCCGCTACAGCAGAAGATCCATTTTATTCAAAACCAAATTTCGGAAACGGAGTGAAAATTGCATTACAATTATGACATTGCAAGCGAGTTCTGTTCTAACCGTTGAGGCAGGAGGTTGTTTGTGCTGAGCTCCCGTGACAGTAGTCGGCTTCGGCCGGCTGCTACGTCATCTTTCTGGAACTATCCTCCTCAAACTTTGAAAATGCCGTGCTGTCCCGCTCCGAGGCGTTGAGCCGGCGAATGGTACGACCAGCTTTTTTTTTTCAAGACACCCAATATTGTACCTTAAAACAAAATTCAGTCAAATTCCTTGAACTGTTCTGACGTGGGGCCGCATTGAACAAGTCTTCAGAGGCTCCCATAAATTCCAACTAAAGAAAGAAAAAAGACATTGCAAGCTGCAAGGTTTTGGAAATTGGTAACCCTTCATCACCTTCAAGCCGGCAACAACAACGTAAATTAAAACCAGGTAGCTGGTAGCATCAAGCCAAAGCACATTAAATTAGATTAGACTGTAAAAAATTAATAAAAACTACATAGGCCTAGGCTGCCTAGCCTATGCTAATAAAAATTCCCTCTGTAAGACTGGCTAAGACTCATGACGCTTGAAATGTCAAGTTGTCAACTAAACTTTATCAACTCCTGCAGCCTGCGCCCTGCAGGTATGCAGGCCGCAGGGTGCAGGCTGAGCGGCCTGAGCCTGCAGTCCTGCTGCTGCCAGGTCTCATAGTGTGACACAAGAGTCATAAAATTTATCTCAAAATCATCTGGTCGTTGAACAACTACAACCACATGGCGCATGCCATGATGCCAGTCGATGTTTAATAGGCATTAGCCATTAGGCTTTAGTATAGTATAGTATCTTTGGCATTGAAGAATAGGCCTGTTGCCAATTCTTGTACTTTTCTCGACTATACTGGCCTTTTGATCAAATCTTTTCAACAGACAGTAGAAATTCATAGTGGCAAAGCAGAGAGTTTTTTAGACTCTCCCTCAAGTTCATTTGTGAGTCCTATAAGTAGACCAGTAAAGTATCCTGGATACCAGCAGTATCATACATAAGAAATTGATTTAAATCTTGGGTAAATGAAGAAATTAAAAATGAACTGATTCTAAAAATTCTGTGGTTTGCTACTATGCAGTAGATTTAAAATTGCTTTTAGAATCTAGAGTAGATTTCATTTGTTCCATAGGAATGTGTAGGATATGAGGCTTTTCAAGACCATTCGTATGGTAAACGGCTAAACGCGGTATATTCCAACATCGTGGGTAATTCTGACACTTCTCGACTTTTTTCCTTTGTATTAAGCTTTTTCTTAGTTTCATGCATTCGTTGATGGTTGAAATAGTGACGTCATACACTTATACTTTTGTGCGCCATACTATTGCCAAAACACTAGGGTCTAGGTCTGGGCCGTCTGGCGGGAAAATGTTGAGATCTAAAGAGACAGTGCGTGTCAACCAGTGAGAACATCAAAAAATGTGTCAAAGACTCAAAGTTGATAGCCACACTCAGGAAGATGTATATAAACGGGGAAATTTCTCACGTAAATCAATCTAATTATATTTTTTTCGCGCAGACGTTCGTGCAAATCATGGTTATCGATTCCGCGCCGCATAGTGGCAAACCAGAGATTTTTTAGAATCAGTTCATTTTTATTTTGTCTTCTACTCAATATTTTAATCAATTTCTTATGTATGAAAATGCTGGTATCCAAGATACTTTTCCAGTCTACTTATAGGAGTCAGGACTCAAAAATGAACTTGATGAAGAGTAAAAAAAAACTGCTGCTTTGCCACTATGCCGCGCCGCGCAGCACTTGGCGCGGGCCGTGGAGTTGTCCGACACAGTTCTGATTTAGACACAGTTTTCATCTGAATGGAATGGCAACATCGTCTGTAGATGATTTCAAGTAACGCTGAACCAGCATTGCCAGATGGTATATTTCTATATCGTACCAGATTTCATAAATCTGGTATTTTCAAAAGGTGTCTGGTATGAATATTTTAGATCTGGTATATATGCCTAAATCTGGTATTTTTCTGATATTTTCTGACTTACTGCAAATTTACTGCATTTAGTTCCACCTCTGAAGTTTGAACTTCCTCCAGCGTAGGCGTGGATTATATTATTATTTATATGAATTGCCTTCAGAGCGGCGCGATTAGAGCTTTCCTGCCATTTTTGGAACCGCAAGTTTTCATGTCAACCGGAACTTGAACACCACAGCAGAGAGTATTTTATGCAGCTAATGAATTTCGCAAACTTTGTTGGAAGAGAGATTGTTGAATTTTAGAAAAAAGGCGGGATAATTCAATGAAGGCTGGTGTCAGAGCTGCAATCTTGATACTCTATTGTGATTCGTGCTATGATAACCTACATAACAATTTTCATGTGATAGTTATAATTTTTGCACATTCAAAGTACACATGACATAACATAACTCATTGTTATTAGGTATTGATCATGTCGATTTTGCCGGCCGGGAGGATGTCGGTGATGTAGTCCCAACATTGGCATGCAGGATCGTACTGTTGACGTACAGGTTCATACCCTACTTGCAGCAACCAGTCCAGTCATTCATTAGAAGGCACCAATGGCACATCTAAAGCCATGTTGCCTTCTTTAGTTCTGTAATTCATGTCTGATTGAATTGTGATCTATGAATGAATATTCATTACTGTGCTGACTCTTAGAACCTGAGTCCTGAGTTGACACGTTAGCAATCTAGTTAACTCGTATCCAACCACAACACAATGCGGATACACGTTTGTCAGTTTGTGTGTACGGTCAGTGTGATTACGTAATTTGCATTGCCGCGCGTCCATATTTAAACTATTATAGCTTTCTAAAAGTATGGTGCTGTCGGTGCACAGCGCATTTTTTTACCGGCATAGTACGGCGCACCGCGCAGGTCGTTAAAATGACAATATAAATTCCCGCGCACCTGGCACATCTTCCTGACCATGGGTTGATAGTTGACCTTGCTCTACAGTCTACCAAATAGTGATAAACTGTTTGTGTAGAAAGAATATTATGGCTTGAGACTTTTAAATACATCTGTGAATATATTAGGAATCCTTTAGGTATACTTGTCTTTGCTGATTTCAATTGTTAAAAAAATTAATAGATGATTAAGTTAAGAGATGGTTTTATACACATAAAAACTAATTCCGACACAGCTTGGAATTAGACACACACAGCTCGTTCCAAGCTAAGTGCAAAAATTAAAATTTTCTTATGTAAAAGCTTAATAGCTCTTAATTAAAAGCCTAATTAAGTAGTGTTCAATATTCAATAGTGTTCTAATTCCAAGCTGTGTTCAATTGTGTGGTATTCCAAGCTGTGACGTAAAGCAAACAAAACTTGAGTTGCACGTACAGTGTATTTTTTTATAGCCATTCATTTTTTGCTACATCCGTAAAGTGTTGGAATGTACCGCGTTTACCCTATGCTCCTGCATGGCCTTGTCTAGTCTGTTCTTGAACATGTTCATACATGGAGAATCAATATCTTCAGGGACAGGGAGGCTGTTCCACATGTTGGTGACTCTAAGCAAGAAGAAATGTTGTCGTATGGATAAGTTGCACTGCAGTTTTTTTAGTTTATAGCTGTGGCCCCTGGTGTTGGCAATGCTCATACTGCAAATTTAAGCATAAAACATGAAGCAAATAGGCCTAGCTATTCAACACAAACTTCATCATTTTGGTAATACTCTAGATTAAGTGCATCCAAAAAAAGGTGTTTTTTTATTATATGTTTTTGGGGTGTAGATAAAGAATCTGAAATCCGTTTTTTGCAGTCGGCACCGGAAAACCAATTTTTTCCCCAAGGCTCTAATTCGTCAAAAAAATCGGGCAAAAATTGGCAAAATTGGCAAAAAAAGCTAACCTAACCTAACCTAACCTAACCTAACCGTGGTTGCAATGTCGTGGTTGCCTGCAATGTCGTGGTTGCAAGAGTATATGGGTCACCGAGGCTAAGTTAAAAACGCCATAAACGCATCTTGGGGCCAAGATTTAACTTGCATTTTATCTTAGAAAATATATAATAATCAGCATATATAAAAATCGGTTTTCCGATGCCGACCGCCAAAAACGGATTTCAGATTCTTTATCTACACCCCAAAAAACATATGATTGAACAAAAAAACACCCTTTTTTTGGTTGCACTTAATCTAAAGTAATACCATCATTTCTCCCAAGTCCCAAATCTTATGCACATTAGTCACTGTTAACACACGTGCGATCGATGACCAGAGAATTCGTTGATTTCTATTATCAGTGAATGGAACTTTTCTTCAGTTGAACGGTAGATCAAAAGGCAAGTTTCAGGAAGTAATTCTTATTTATTAACGACGTTTTGAATGCAACAAACACTGATAATAGAAATCAACGAATTCTCTGGTCATCGATCACACGTGTGTTTAGTTCTCCAAGAGGCCGGTGTACTCTATAAATTTTACTTCAAAGAAGGTTGTAGACTTCTTCACGTTATGGATTACATTGGAGTTATTAGAGTGACAACTGCGACATTGAACTGCCGTTTCTCCTACCACCAGAGACAAGCTCTCTACCATACCAGGTCTCAAAGCAAGCAAGTTCATCTCAAAATCGTTGATGAATTCAACAGGCTATGTGACACTCTTGACAACAATGTCAAATTCCAGACTAAACGCAACAAAGACCCTTGCAAAAACGCGGGAGTTATCCGAGAGGCCGGTGTAGTCTATAAATTTTGCTTCAAAGAAGGTTGTAGACTTCTTCATGTTTTAGACAACATCGGACAGATTGGACTAACAATCAAGACACCGAGCCGCTGTCTCGTTAGCTACCTTCAGACTGGAGGGCAGGTGAACCACGCGAGACAAGCTCACAACCGGACCGTCATCCGCATTGTGCTGAACGTACTCGCCAGCATCGTGATCAAGCTGTGGCCCGATAACAAACGACCGGAGATAGCTGAACTCCTCATCTCTACAGATTGGATCCCAGCTATCTATATTCTGACTACCGGATTTGTCTGAACTCTGAAAGAATTTTCCGAGTAATTTTTGGTCCAAAATTTTACTGTTGTATCCTAGTTACTTATATTATGTACTTATTTCCACCAAAATTTCAATGTTTAATGCTTCTTTAACTTGAAAATGAGTGTTTGTTGCATTCGAAACGTCATTAATAAATAAGAATTACTTCCTGAAACTTGCCTTTTGATCTACTGTTCAACTGAAGAAAAGTTCCATTCACTGATAATAGAAATCAACGAATTCTCTGGTCATCGATCGCATGTGTGTTAACAAGTAAATCCTGCCATTTAAAATAAATTAGTCACTGTGTGTATGTAGAATAGATTATTCCTATATTTAAATATCATTAAATTTAGGATGACTGCATTCCACCTCCAAATGACCTGGGATTCCCATGTAAAACATTTTCCCAACAAAGCATCACCTGAATGCAGTGCATAGAGAAGGAGCAAGTTCAATTTACTTGAAGAATTTTCATTATGTTGATTTGCAATCTTTAAACTATTTACATATTGATCATTGGAAATGATTAATACTGTGTTTAAGTAATATTAAAAAATGTTCTAGGTTTTGATGATGATGAAATGTTCATATTGGGTCCATATTAAAAAATATTTCCTTTTCACCGTAGCATGGTGACTGTAGTTGCATTAAGGGTAGAGCAGTAGAGCACAGTAGCTGTAGAGTCAAGAATAAGATGAAACCTATCTTAGATAAGATAAGATTTAAATTCTGAATTATAACCATACTTTGCCATACTGATTTAGACAGGACAGAATAAGCGATACTGGTTTACAATTAAGTTAAAATGTTTTGGTTTCCTTTGGCAAAAGCTAGAAGCTAGAAAAGATGTTATGATTTAGCTGTCAAGACTGTCATACTACATTTATTGTCTTGTCTCAGGCAGATAACATTTAATGTTTGACACTGGACAGGGGTCTATGACAGTGATTCACATTCAGAGCATCTCATATTCTACATTAAGTATTAACATTTTATATTGATTGTGCCCAAAAATAATCAATAATTTTTTTACTGTCCTTCATTGTCAGGTTCTGCTTCAGAACAGTTTTGCCTTTGCTACTAGTAATGAAATTTTAAGTATTGTGTATTGTTATATATTTTGGTCAACTATTACATTTCTTTAATTATTATTAAAATGTTTCTAATCTATACAATGATTTTTGTATGCCTTCTTGTACACATTTCATTAAGATCTTTGCTATTCAATTTCTGTGCTGCACTGTTTATATTTCATCTGTAGTGCTACCTCATTAGCCAGTGACAGAATTCATTTTCTCAAGCATACTCTTAAATCATTCTCTACTTTAAATATTCTAAATTCCCTGACTTTGTTATTTTGCTTTCAGTTTGCACATGAGAGTACTGTGCAACATTCAAATTATATTTAGTAAAAAGTTGTTATATTATGTGTATAGCATTGGATAACCTGGTGAAGTAAGTATTTTGATGTCTAAATTTACGTTGAGGCTATTTCATTTCTGAAAAATGGTTATCAATGATAAGTTTGCTGTGATGTGTTTGGACTGACAAAACTGAGAATTGTTTCAAATGCCTAAAGAATTATTAAATACTGTTTAATAATTCAATATTTAAATATTAAATATACATATTGAATATATATGAATGATCCAATAATAGTAATTGAAAAAATACCATCCCAGGCGGCCAGCAAATCCAAGAACGTTGCTCAGGCAAGAGCTGCAGATGATATGAGTGATTCCAACGATTGTACAACTGTGAGTGGAAGACTCCGTGCAGCCAACAGCAAGAGTGCCTCATCCAGCAAGAGTAATTATAGTAGCAGTTCAGGAGCTATGGTCAAGCTGCCTGCTAAAGTAGAAGTTAGGAACACTACTGATGCTGACCAGAAACAGCGAGTTGGCTCGGCGAGCAGAGCAAAAGCACCGCTTGAGGCGACTAGCTCATCTGATGGATGGCGAGATGGCATGTCTGAAGAAGAAGACAAGCAGGAGAGAAACAGGGTGGTTGTTCAGCCTGCTGCAAGTCTTGATGAGCTTGAAGACAAGGATGGTGCCATTGCTGAACTGAGACGCCGTGCCCACGAAGTTACCGTCACACTCATCAAACAAGACGATCAGCTGGTGAAGATACCCCACATTCTTAGAGAGCATTTTTTTTCATGTTAAGTGACTCAAATATCATAGAATAAATTCTTTTTCAGCTTTGTCAAGTTAATTTTGGGTATATAATTTTGATATTTACTTGTTTGTTTTTGGTGCATACATTTGTTTTCTTAGTTATCATTATTGTTGCAGATGAAGCATCAGGTTCTCCAGTCTAGAGGCTGCTCTACCTTAACCAAGTCACAGGAGATGCAGCAACAGTTTCAGCAACTACAACAGCAGCAGCAGCCACATCAGCAGCGATTCAACAGCGGGTCATCACACCCTTTACACGCAGCTGCAGCACCACCCGCTTTCTCTGCATTTGCAGCTTTTTCCCGCTCTGGCACTAGCTCATTTATAACTTTTTCGAATAAAGGATGTTCCCTTCTGAAATTAGGTTGCGCGACGCCTCTTATTTTGTGTTATGCAGCTGTAGTTTCGTTTTTCGTTTTCTCTGAGCTTCGTTACATCTGGCCTTTGAGACAGGCAGTTGAATTGTAACTGTCTGAGATGTAATCATTCCGTATGTTTTTCTAACTGATAAAAAAATTATAAGGAATTTAAGTCTTATTGAATGAAGCGCCTCAATTGAATGTCTGTTTTGTCTGACTGTTAGAGCCTTAGAGTGGAAAATTGGACAGAAGCACCCATTTTCATGGCCATGCCTAAATTCTCTCTTAGAAAATAAGAAAATAGCATATTTTTGCTTGCAATTTCTGCAAAATTCTGCTTAATGTTCAAGATTTGCCCATGAATGAGGGAAATCACTGGTTCTCAAGATTTATGTCACCTGTTCCTGTGACACTTGACTAAATTTTTAGTGAAAATTCAGAAAAATTTGTATATCTTTACCTGAAATTTCTGGAAATTTCTACTTGAAATTACAGAGTGGTGTGCTGGAATATATCTATTCTAAAAAAAAATTAATTGAACAGTGCAACATCATATTATTCTGTAGCATTGCAATAGGCTCATGACTGCTTCCTATTCATTCAACCTAATCACTGCAGTATATGTATTTTGTATTAATTGTCATTTAAAAAATTGTGACTAATTTGCTTTATACAGCACTCTTACCTTCTACCTAGTTTCTACATTATTTATTTTAGAAATACATTATAATCAATTAGGATGTTGGTTTGTTCTGTTTTCTCAATTATAAATAAGACAAACATTTGCATCTTCTCATATCATTACAGTAGAAACTTTGCGTCAAAGTGATGTAGCAATATTTCAATTTTGGTGTTCCTTTGAGTTGCTATGTAGGCATTTGCCATCATTTTCATAAATTTCTACATTACAGTTAATGCAAGAAGGAAGTCACAACTACCAACTCCTGAATGCCATGGATAGATCTTAACCCCGATCGCCTCGGGTCATGGTCTGACGCTACAACGTCGTGGGCAATGATTTCTGCACTCCATTCTATTAAGTATTTTTTCATGCCTTCCATCTTACATACTTCGCGATTATTTTACCAGGCATTAATATAGATTGTTTCCAATCAAATGCCGTCGTCAAGTGCACAATTCTAAACTCGAAACAATTTTTAAAGATTATGAGAATGAAACGACCGAATTTCTGATCTCAAGCCAAGCCATTTCCGTGTATGACAATTCCGACCGCTCGATATTGTGGTGTTAAATTAATTAATTTTAAATGGTGGCCGTGTTTGGCCTTTTTGTGAGCTAAATTTGCCTTTTTCTTTTGGCTCCATCTGCCTACCCTGCTGAGAACATGTGCATCGTTATCACTGGATCATGAGCATCTTCGTCCCTGGTTTTTTTGAGTTTATTTGTTCCAATAGTTTTTTTTATGTCATTGTCTGTAAGTTCATTGTCTGCCATTGCAAAAACTACATGAAACTACGCAGCGGAATGCTCGAGTACCTCCCACTTTTGTAGCTCGTTGAACACAGATGTCGCGAGTTTGACTGTGACAGGAACGTTTGCTGCCGACATGCGGAGCACCTTACACGGTGGTAATAGGGGTGGATAGCTAGAGGTCAGCATAGCCCAAGTCCACAGTGCGATTCATATACCTTCACGGGCGTAACGCAGCCGGGCATCTTCACGGCTTTTGACACAAAGCGCCCACTACAACAGCGCCGTTCAGTCACAGGCCGGAGCGCAGCAGCTACTCCTAACGTAACCTAACCTAACCTGCGCCGCCTGTTGCGGCAGGGCCTGTTGCGCTCCGGCCAGTTGGGCTCCGGTGCTGTGAAGCAGTGGCTGTGTTGTGCAAAGCGGATTTACTGTTAGCCGGAGTTCCCCACAGCTCATTGGTCTGAGGCTATGGGTAGATATTGCATGCTGATGGTAGGCGTTAGGCCCAGGGCCTGTTTACGAGTCAATTTTGTTACCCACGGCTGCGATCCCGGTAATAGTTTATATATATAGTTGGCTAAATGACCTACCTAATTATGGATCCAAATAGCTAAAATGGGTATTGTTGATCCGACCCCTAGAATAGATCTCAGTCGAAGAGTATCTCGACAGACAAGGCTGTGAGATTCGTGGTAATTTTTTACGGAAGTTTTCCCGCCCACCCGTTGCGATTAGGGCTAACGCAATTTTTTCACTTAATGTTTCTCACAGTGCCCTTTGGAAAAAATATATTTATATCTCAACCACTAGTTTACACTTTTTTGCATGAAAACTTTGGTATCATTCCTGAGGATTTTCATCCTCAATAATCATAATTTCCTTCTATTGCCTTCATAAATACCGTATCATAACATCTTCCTCCATTTGTCCACTTTGTACAAGAGAAGAGTACAAAATTAGTAATAACTAACCAAAAATTGTCCATTGCTGCAGCAAAATGTTGATCACTTACTCATTTTGAACCGTCACAAAATTCATTCTTTATTAAACTGCGAAAATTTTTATATAGTTACAAAAGAATTTTATTCGTTTTATTTTGTCGATTTTACTTTCATTCATTTATCTCTAAAACTGATGGACGTTGTGAATATTTGATGGTTGTTTGTGACTCAATTTAGGTGCATTGATTTGGCATAAAATTCAAAGCCCATTACTGTAAAATTAAGTCTTTTTTTCCTTATGCTTCTTGTGCAATAGTATAGTGTGTTAGTAGTGTTTGGTTCGGCCTGTCGCAGATACTGGTTTTTGTGATTTGTTTATAGGACGTCGACCAACTGACATTTTAACCAGATCTCATCATAACTGACGTTTAATTGAGTATTGGTGGACTTTTACCAGGTCCGTGGGGTAATACTGATTATCACTTCAAGGTCTGCATAGCTTTGTTTAGCCTGTTCTCGAACGCGTTGATGCCCGAGGGTCAACGATGCTAGAAGGGAGTCTGTTCCACAAATCGGTGACTCGAAGTAACAAGCGTTATAGTATGTACAAGTTCCACCGTTTTTTTTAGCGTATAACCGTGACCCCTGGTGTTAGTTCTTGTTTCATCTTTATTATGTTATGACTTTTTCACATTAGTATGACCTAACCTAGTGAGAAACGCCCACTTAATCTCCGAGACAGAGTGGCACACCACTATACATGGTAGCAATGCAATTGCTACCTAGTGTAGAACTATTCATACTATCTGTGACACTGGCTAATGAAATGTTCATGGGTTTTTTGGCATTAGTCTCAGTAGTAGTTATGAATGAATAAAATTCCGTAGAATTAGCCTGTTAAATTACGCCTGTTACTACCCCCCCGCCTTTTAAATTAGGTTTGTTACAATTTAGCATACTTAGATATAACAGTAACACCTCGCCTGAAAACCAATCGCGAGTGTCACGTACTTAACCTCGGCTGCAATAGGTGAAATGCTCGATAGGGAATTGATCGACAGTACTCATTAGTTTATATTATAATTGTATAACGAGTTTTCACGGTTCAACGTTTTAATTGTTTGACAAGTGTTAACAAACCCGTTCTCACAATTGTACTCCCGATCGAGTTCCGCCGGCTGTTTGAACCTGCCGAATCCCGTCAAGATCCGCAAGGGATTTTCAATAATATTTATTGAAACACGGTGATGAAGTGAAGCCGCAATATGTATAGCGATACATTACTGTACTCTAGTTGAAAACCCGGTGTTGTCACTAGTAGTTCGCTCGCTCGTAAGTGAACATTTGAATTTGAGAATTTCTACGGTTGAATGTATATTTACATAAACATGAACTGGCACTGTAACATCATGTCTAATGTCTTCAATTACCCTTTACATTTAAGGCTAATCACAGCGTTTGTCACTCAGCTCCATTACTTGAAAAGTCGATAAATTTATATTTCATCCTCAGACGCAGTACTTAAGTGACTCATTTATCGTCTTAATGGACTAATCTCACCGAAACAAAACTAAAGATCCTGTGCAAAATCAAGTTGCGCTTTTACCCAATATGTTTGTGTGGCGATACTTGTACAGTAGCATGTGCCAAAACTGAATCTATCGTTACCCTGAAAATGGTTTGCATACAGACACCCATTGGTTATTCCCAGCATCTGCGACATTCGAAAATTGATGCGACCTCGAACGTACGGAATGTTACCTACAATACCAACATGCAGCACTTGCCATGCAGCTAGCTGGTCACGAAAGAGCACGGTAGTCTTGCAAACAAGACAAGTATTATGCTGAATATATGGTTTGAATAGAGAAGTTTTGGTGGTCGCCACCAGCGAACCCGCGTACATCTGAAAATCCCTATCACGGTATGTATGTATATGCAGGATTAGTTTTGCTTACGCCGCATATATAATATTCACCACGGCCCGATAATATAATCGCTGTCAAGCTTCAGCGATGCCTACCTAAAGAGCCGTCGCTGCCTTCACACTAGATCCAAATGTCCGTCCATAACCACTACTTCGAGGAAAAAACGAATATCATTTACCAGAATTTACAAGTCTTGAACTTATAATTAAAACTTTGTTACTTATTAAGTCTTGCAGAGTTAAAAACTATCCAGCATGGCGCTTGCAACTATTCAATTAGGTTATCGAAAAGATTGTTCTAACCACAGGAAAAATATTTTCTACATTAGTCCCAATTTCGAAAACGAATGTCCACAAAAATTTCATCTAGCTTTGATGAAACTAAAACATTCAGAGTAGTCGCAAGTTTCGTGGTACGTGTCTATAATAATAATAGCCGTTTCAGCGTTTATTAGGCCGTAGGTCTGTCACAGATTCCTAACATGGCAGAACATTCACAGCTTGTTGCGGTCTCTAACTCGCAACTCACTGCTACAATTCTGCTATGCTTAACCGCCCGGCCTTCTTGCCTATTCTGACCTTGCCGAATCGGTCCACGGGCGGACAGAGCTAGGATCGAACCCGCGCCTCCTCAAATCCCGATACTCTGACTTCAACCACTGGTCCACCCTGCCCAAGTTCTAAGTTCAGTTTTAAAAACTTGATCCGACATGTATAGTCACTAGGCAAAATACACATCCTGGCACACAAGTTTCCACGCGCCTCAATGCAGGGAACGTCATGCGTTTAAGAAATCCTTTAGGTGGTCGTCGATGTAAGACGTACGGAGCGTATACTCCTTTGCCCGATTAATCATATTCAGACTACTGTCTATAACAGGTTCGCCGTAAGGGTACGGCGCATCGTAACCATTAATTCGTGACGTGTGAGCGGTTCCGTATTTATTGCCCCTACAGGATTATTGCAATTTCCTTGCAGCAACTGGTTGTGCCACAAGGACGGACGTAGGATTCAATCTTTTTTCCAAAAATAATCAGGGTTAAGAATCAAACTTAACATACGCATGTACACCAAATCTTTCATTCCTTATGTGCGTAGTGCGGCCATGAGGCCATTGCTTATCGAAGAAAAATAAAACTAAAGAAATAGATCAACTTTTATCATATGAAAACTTCCAAATTGAATGTATGTACAGAAGCGATTTCCAAGTAAGCATCTCTCAAGAGAAAAAAAATTGATTAAATATTTTGACTTGCACCTGTAGAAAATAAATGAAGCTTATAACCCAATAGTAACGCTATAATGTAAACTGATAATTATCTTTTATTAATGGCTAAAACAATTTCGATCAGATACTCTCTAAAGTTCAATTCTACGTGAAAAAATTAATTCAACTCTCACTTAAATGTACGTTGTTGCAACACAGAACTTTCAGTGACAATTTGAACAAGATAAATTCCTGACTAATGCTACATAAAACTGTAGCAAATTGACTTCCTAGCGAAACTGTAGCGAATCCTAATTATACAAGTACAATATTGATCAGAGGAGAGCTAGCTTGACTCGAGAACGAGAGTCCTCGGTGGAAAGCACAAAGATATTAGGAGCACTGACCTGCAGTAGACAGAACGATATCAAGAAGAAACTTCAAATACTATGAATATATCAAGTGAATCATTGACAACCTGACGAGGCACTTTATTGGACCGATCGATTGACTGAGGACTTAAAATTCGTTCCCTGTCAATTTAGGAGAATCATTCTGCCTACCGGAACTCGATTGTCAGTAAACAGTGCTGGAGGCCCATGGACTGTTGTTGCAGAAAGGCAACATTGAGGTTTCGGTTTTAAGATAATCTCTCAAACCTTTAGTGCCACTGTTAGAATCAAGGGCACAGGCGATATCGGATAAATCAAACTTTGTACTAAAATTGCACTCTCCACCAGACAGACTAGAGTCATATGCGAACTTTTGCCTTTCGTCTTCACGGGGAGGAGTGAGGCACGAGTCTAGGAACGCTGATGTAGGAGAAATCGATAGGTGTTCAAGACGCAGATTAGTTTTTACAAAAGGATTATTGGAAGGAGAAATACTAGCGGCTGATTTTCTACAGGTGTCAGAATCTCCATTCAAAGATTTGGCTATTGTGCATGAATTCAGCGAAAAATCGAGAGGACAAGAAGAAAGATCAAGCGAATGTTCGAAAACTGTTAATGAAAGAGGAGGAGTTGTTGATTTTACCCTGGAAGTAGGGGGACTTTCATCGAAACTCTCCCAAGCATCACGGCTAGAAACTACATTCGACTCCTTAAACCCTTTACTTTTCATATCATCAGGCTCCTCGGCCTCCAGATACTTGCTATCACCAGTGACGTCCCTTATCGGAGCAAATATTTCAGCTGATCTACATTCACTAACAAGGTTAGAATTAAAAAATTTACACGTTTTCCTCGAAATTTGCAGCTTACTCTCTGAATCGGTTAAGACATTTGTCAAGTTAGTAAATTGGTTAGTAAGGTTTGTGGCAGACGGGTTAATAGTATTAGTACGAGTTTTGTGTGAAGGGTAGGAGTTACAAGATAGCGACTTTACCAAGTTATCAGTTGGCAGCAGCAAGGAGTTGCTGCTCCGAGTCTGACAGTGAATAACGGCTGCTACTGAAGTGTCCGTTGAACGAACACTTGCGCCCGGAGCGCAGAGAGATGAATGGTGGATTGCCTTTGATAACTTCGGGGCTACGCGAGCTGTCGCTAACACCACAGGCGTTGCCTCCGTCTGAGTATTCTCTACTGGGAGGCTGCCAGATGTTACGACTGCTGTGAGAGTTGCACATTTTGGGTCCCATTGGTAGCAGCTCGTCGCAGGACCCGAATTCAATCTGGAAAGTAGGCTCAAGTAAAATCTTCAACAAGTGTACAAAAATCAGAGCATTTCAAATCAATAATGTACTGCAGTAAAAAAAACTTGGCAATGAAAGGACCACAATTACTGACAAATGCTTTAAAAGAGCAAGAAGGCTGGATAGATTTAAAGCCATGCTTATTACTTCAAAAATGTACGGAGTATAAATGGTATTCAGCTACCAATTAAAACACATTTCCCCAAACCTTTCCTAATATTATCAGTTATAGCTTTGTTATCAAAACGGCTAATCTTACCGATGAAAATTCTCGGCTAGATCAGAGACGTCGTCGAAGGAAATCTGTTGGAGATATCATACGTGAATGATATCTTATCCCAGAAATGTTGACCGGGTAAGGAGACAGGCCATCTCATCAACTACTTTAGCCAGACATTAAAGAACCAAAACATGATAAAAATAACATGTCTAGAAGATGCAATGTAATCCTACACCACAAATTACATTGTCAATAGTTTTACATAGACATGCGAAATTAGCAGTGGCAAATCTGAGAAATCCTCAGTTTTCAAGAGAATAGTGAATGAGAGTTTCGCAGGTAAAAAGGTTGCAGCTAATCCAGGTAAGTAAAGTTTCTCAAGAGAATCTAAGAAGATCGCCACGTTTCGTCCACATGATTCAGAAGAAAGATTAAACCCAACAAATATAACTCTGCCAAACTCTAGGCATTGTTAAAATCTAGTCAATGCCTTGAGTGTTTTAAGCATCGCAAAAGATCAAAATTGCCCCCGCATTTACCGTAAATGCATACGGGAAGATGCAACGATGCGTCAAGAACTATATTAGAGGAAGCGACTTTACCCAGTGCTTCCGAGAACGCGCAACTTCAGCAGTTGGAGGTTGCTGCAAGGGAGGAGGGAGCGACAGCTCTAGTAGATCATCACAGCCATTTTCAGTGAAATCCAAATCGAGCAGCAACCCTCCCGTGTTGCTCGATTGATAGCCTGTAATTTTAATTATAAATCATTGGTAATTTTCAAACTTTTTCGCAAAAAAAGTTCGTGTACATCACATCCGCTGCCGGCTCAGCAAGAACATCATGTCCACCATTGGGCAACGTCTCGTCTAACCAGTGGCAGCCAGGTATACGTCTAACATCAATCTAGGTATACAATCATTTCACAGCACTCGAGTCTTATATTTGCATTCTTGCATCATGCCCAGAATTTCATGCTTATATGCCCAACGAGGTGACTTCCAAAAAATCTAATTGGGTATCTATTCAAATGTTGCTCTTTTTCAGAGTTGCGAAACGTGGTTTACTTTCTCATCAACATTGGACAAGACCTGATGTACTGGAGACCTCTGAGGGCGGTGACGAGTAGCCTGGAAAATGCTCTGGCGATGAGGCTCTGCTGCTGTGGTTGCCATTAGAGTTTTTCGGACCCTCGCTTCTAGATGGGGACTCTCCTCCTCGTCCTCCTTCGACCTGAAGGAGCATTATTTCCAGGTTATCGAATTAAACCTCGAAAATAGATACTAAGATCCAGAAATCTTTCAATCTTTCCGTCAAACTGGTTGTAGTAGAGAGATTAGCGATAAAAATTTTTTTTTGCCCATCCAGCGAAAATGATGCAAAGGACCAGTAATAAGGCGAGGCTAAAGACCTGCCGTTTGAACAAAGCTCAGTCAAAACGCAGGGCCTGTTATAACGGACTTCAAACCGTATCGTGCCCTTGAAACCAAGTTATGAGTAGATGGTATAAGACTTGGCAAAAGAGCATAACTTGGGGAGAGCAGAACTTTACCAGTGCAAAATTCTATATCTGAGAAAGTAGTGAAAGCTGATTTAATTTGCATAGATCACACAGTCAGCGTAGCAAAAATAGCCAGTCTTGGAAGCCTTCAGCGTGAATGCTCTAAAAAAAAAATACGACTGATAACGTAATCGTTCCGACCTCTCGAGACTTGCCTCATCCGAAGTGAAGGAATTATCGCCATCGTTTTTCTTGGCCTCGAGCGCCAGTTTCCAGCACTCGTAGGCCATTGTGAAGGCTTGCGCTATGGACACTGCAATGGCTTCCGCCTGCACACAACAGAATACGGAAAAATTTAGAGTGAACTTGCAAAGAATGCATCGTGGTGGTTACTCTTCAACAGAATACAGCGAAGCGCCGAGAAGCCCTAGTCAGTTTGAATGCCTATTTAAATATGCATGGCTTTCAGCGAGATGAGAAAGCCGAAGTTGGAGGCCGTTATAAAAAAAGAACGGTGACAATACATTCATACTTCCGAAGGTTACCTTGCATAACAAATCGTATAGACTAATTTCCATCATTAAACCACTAAGAGAAAGTTGGCCGGATTTTTTTTTTCAAACCTCAAGGACGAACCGAATAGTCTAACTCACCACTTTTCGTTTGGAGCAAAGAAAGGCGTGGCATTCGCAAGTGTCTCTGTCGTTACTGGCCACAAAAGCCAGAATTTGCTCGTACTGAGAATCCGCAGAACAGTAAGATATCCTGAAAGATTTGGAATTTTAATTACCAAGATGAGTTGAAGTTTTAAAATTCATAGATGCACAATAAGACGATAGTTACACTGGATACACAATTAAGAACTGATGACGCAAACCCCTTGCGTCATCAGTTTATAATGCATTCCAGTGACATAAGAAGCCTCGCAAGCTAAAAACTTTTTCCAAGACAAAAAACATGCATGAAGGATGATGTTACGGTAGAGTGAGACCTTGACAACACGCTCACTAAAAAGCTACTCTTACAGAAATTCATCTTCCATAGCGAGAAGAGACTTCAACAAATTAGAAAGTGGCACTTATAGCGAGATAGAACGATCATGTGCAAGTTGGTAAAAATCGCTGTGCTAAAAATACCTATAATCTTGCTTCTTTCGGGATTTTAACGTAGGGTATGGCCAGTCATCATTCCTAACCAGAATATACCAACTCCAACCAATCACAGCACACTTTAAATAAAGCTCACTTATATATTGAAGTATCCATTATAGTTTCTCCGGTTGTGGTGGAGTCGACCCTAACTCCTTCCATGGCGACCCTAAAGGCGACGCGCTCCGGACGCCGAGTGGCCGCCTTAGCGGCGTGAATTACGCGCTTCACGCCCGCCGCCGTACTCTGGGCGCACTTCGGACCGTCCACTAAACTCGAGCCCAGATAACGGACGAAAAAAGTAACTCCGTCTGCAACGGGCTCGCGGCTGTTCATCCATTCTTCACTCAATTCTGAAATTAAATGCATCTGATTAAGGAGAATCGGGGTATACATGTGCACAATTCTTTACACACTCCAATAAACCGTGAAAAGGCTCATTATTAATCCTTCAACCTAATCGAATAGGTTTAAAAATTAAAAATAATTCTAGTTTACGATACGACAAAAATTGTGAGCTAGCGGAATTTCAGTACAAATTAACAACTTCGAGATCCTATCCCAAATGCGGACGCCAGATAAAACTATCTGTAGCCGGGTAGAGAAACTCGGCAATTTTTGCACAAGTTTATTTCCATTAGAAACTTAACTGTGTCTGTACGGCAACAAAATAGAGCGACGGGTAAAACTGCATTCATGCATCTCTAAATTTCAACAAAAATTATTGGGGAAATAAAATTCCAGTCTTCTGTCAAGTTCCGCCAGAAACCAAATGCAGCCAGTGTTGCGGCTTCTATGCGAAGCACCAAAATTGGGAGCCTATTTCCTAAGCAATCTCCCCAAGATGGACCAGCATGAAGCAATCTTATTCAGATAAGAGGCGTTGGTCCATCACGAGGAGCATCTCGTCCAGCAGTGAGCTAACACAAGTGGGCCCTGCAGCGACAGCTGGCTTCATCGATCCAACGAGAGCTCGCGAATAAGTAGGCGAAAAAATGCCACATCTGACACTGTCGGAGTGCTTTGGTCTCGTTGAGCGCAAATGAAGAGCGGCGCAAACTTGCCGCTGCAACGCTAGAGCCTTGACTAGAGGGAGCACGTCGATATCCACCCAAACGCCTCCGGCAATCCACACAAAGAGCCTTTTATACTTGCCATAGCTAATAACTAGTAATTGACTTGTCATTTTGCTAAAGCTTTCTATCTAATTCTATTGGAATAAACGCGTCTTACGGCAATAAAATTGTCAACTGAGGCACTGACCATGGAACCTTGATACGCGTATTCGATTGATACAGATGCTAAGGACCTTGATCTGCGCAATGAGGTTCAAATGTTGGCATTCATTCTAGCTATTTAGAAGATTTAATTCCTTAATTTAGTGCCGTGAGTAGCTCTAGTACAGGGTGACAAAAAAAACAGAGCTCATAAAAAGTTGAATAATTTCCACAATACTCAAGTAATCCTGTTATTTGTTTCAGATTCATTAAGAAGACGGATTGATCTAAGAGTCTACCACGTGTGAGCTTCGAGATGCCTTGGACTACAGAGCAAAAGACATTTGCAGTTGAGACATATTTTTAGACCTGAACCCCCCAGACTTCTACCTGTGGGGTTACCTCAAGGACAGGGTGTATGAGCACAACCCCCAGACCATCCCTGACCTCAAAGCAGCCATCACAGCAGCCATCAGAGCCATCCCGAGAGAGGAGTGCAGGAGGGTCATTGAGAACTTTGCCAGGCGAATCCAAGTCTGCCTGCAGCGCCAGGGCGCGCATCTGGAACATATCTTTGAGCGGCTGTAGAACAAAGAGTTTTTGTGGTATAGAATTGAGATTTTGCAGATGTTGGCTACATAGGTTGTACATAATTCCATAGAATTTTTGTTTCAAACTGAATAAAATTTCAGGAGTTATAAGACTTTTAGTGAGCTCTGTTTTTTTTGTGTCACCCTGTAGCATAACGAGGACCTAAATTTCTTTTTACTGCCTGTCTCTAAGGGCACTTCAATGTTTGTGCAGACTGCAGACATTTCAATGTCGTTTCGTACAAGTTGATAACACTCGGCAAGATAGTAAATTAGATCATGTATTGTGGCAGTTTGTTCATCGATACTTATAAAAATGGCACAAGTTTAATCCATCAAGAGATTCTTCCTGGGCGACTCTTAAATTAAATCATTCTGATGAACGATGCAAGGGAAATTTTGATCCACACTTATCAAGATCACCCATACGCATAGACGTACAATACAATTCCGTATACATTATATAACGGTTAAATATTGTAGGCAAAGTTAAATAATCAAATCTCCTATCCTTAGTTATCTCGCAACCTAGTACCATCGGCATCAGGTTGAGATATAATAATTCGCGTACAAGGAAGAAATTTGAAGATTAACCCTGACATTCGCTTCATCATGACTATTTCCTCTCCTAGAAGACGATTCCGATCAGAGAAGCGTGGATTGAGTTAGGAAAATCAACCAGGCGAATGAAGTCAATTTAATCCCGGTGATAGCACTCACGAGAAAATCCGAGAACAAAGAATTTAAAGCCGCGGCATCAGCCGCTAAAATGAAGAAAGCCTTCTTCCAGAAGGCTGATGTAAGGAAGTCAACGGGGATAGAGAGTTAACAGAAACTCATGAAATTCGCCCTAGATAAGGTGCCAATGCGCCAGTCGTTAAATTCGGACTGGAAAATGAAAAAACTTTCGAAACCAAATTCAATCGGGCAAATAAAATACGGCGTAAAAGGGGTGAAAATTTCAAAAACTTGAATGGACAGGCTGGATTTTCATTAAAAAGATAAATTGAGCTTTGCGAGGAATACCGAGCTAAGCTAACTGAGAACTCTTCAGAGGTGATCGATGAGTATCCTTTTATACTTTATCGATAGACTTCGGCCGAAACAAGACGACGACAGAGCAGCTGGGTTAGGAAGACCTGAAAATAACTAATTTAAGCGCCCATTCAATTAGGCGATGCAATGATCAAGAACCGTCTCACGTGTGAAGAGGCTTATTAAGGGCACCAAGTATCCAATTTATTACTATCAATTCAACCTAATTGAAGTTGTCATTGACGGCAAGGCATAGAAAATTATTCAAAAGTAGCCGAAAGAATCAACTCCGTACTAGTAGAAAACAAACTTTCTGACGTTCATACGTATATCTCTAACACAAATGTTTAATTTAGTTTTATTTGCACCGTGGAACGCCCATAGAAAACTTATTCATTCAGGCTATTACAACGCTGTTCACTAGGTGATAGAGCATGGAATGTCAACCTTACAAAATTTTGTTTCCGGTCATCTCACCGGATTCTTTACTGCACGGAAGTCTGTGGTACCCAAAATTTAGACGAATTTCAACACTTTCAAAGAAACGATGTGAATAGATATCCAATTGGACTAACAGAACGGCCACAATCATGGGTCTGCGTCAATTACGTCTCCTGCCGTGTGACAGAAATCCAAGTTTCAGAGTCCTAAAATTCAAACAGAAAAAATCAACTGTCAGTGACCTGATAGGGTTTCATCAAGGGAAAAATAACCTAACTGGGCGCCTTATCTTCAGCTGAGCTGAAGGCATTGAGTATTGCTCAGAGCCTCAGAGTCTACAACAAGCGTTGTACGAGTAGTTTAACAAATATTCGTCAGGGATATTTCTGACAAGCAAGGACGAATTATCTCTGCCCTGCTTTGGGATCGAAAAGTATTATCAACATTGTAATTAAAGCTCACCGATACAACCACCGTTTTCAGTCAATTCCAGTAAAAATTTAGCTCCGCTGAAGTCTAACAAGATTACAATTACAGCGCGTTGACGGGCCCACCAATCAAAAAAACTCCGGGATTACACATTATCCATTTATAATTTAAATTTCTCACAAGATAATCAAAATTACAGTTCACCTATCATTTTTCAAACAAAGCAACGCTAGCGATGGAAGGAGCACTCTTGCACGAGTGTCCTCAAATGGATTCAAAACCTGACGGCAGAATGAGCACTTCACCAAACTGCGAGACACGGAATTTAATCAACACCAGAGATTCACGTCGGAACATCATCGCGCACCGTCACAGCAGAGCTCGAAGAGATGAGCTCTCCACCATCTCTGAAAAAATCTCTCAGAAGTAACAAAAATCTTATGCCTAATCTTAGCCGAACCGTATAAATTCGAAAAATCCAGTACAGTTAAGCGGTGCGCATGAAATTAATGCTCAACATTTACAAAATTTATGAAATTCGAAATTTCATCTACTTCAATTTTGTCACCATTCAATACCTAGATCGCTCAACTCGTTCGCGCAGTATTACGATTGGAAACTGCAGTGACCTCCGTGTCACAAAAAGCGTAGACCGAACGAAGTTCAAAATTGAATTTTTTGAGAACACAGCGGTGAAAATTGCTTAGAATTCAAGGTGCTGATCAGATGTTGCCTCCGAGAAACTATGCGCTATGGAGATTACTAAGCAGATTCTTGGGGTTCTACAATTTAACTATATACTCCGTCAAATGGAAGAATTTTGAATAGACGTTACTGTATTTCATGTCTTTCAAGTCGTGAAGATATTCAAATTTTGGGCATTACGAGACTTCTAAGCAGAAGTATTTCAAGCAGTTAAGCTTTTTCGGTGTAGCTGGTGAATGCAGTGATTCAGAGAGCTTTAATTCTCCCAGATTTCGTCCTGGATGTGGTGGGGAGGGGCATCCACAAAAGTTGAGACACAGGATTTTCGAACGCTCTTGCCGAAGCCCTCAATTCAACTGAATCGAAGTTTGAGATCTAGCGTTCCGAAGTTGCGAATGCTTCATTCAGTCGTCAGAATACCCAGCAGCACTGGCATGGAAGAGTGATCAAGTCGAAACCGACTGTTGAGCAAGGACATGTAATGAATCCCTAACACAGATCCCTTAAAAGGGCCTATACTCAACATGCAGCTTCTTCAGTTATTTATAAAAGGAGCATGAAACTCTTCAGTTATTAGATATGAAAAGACCCTCCTAGCACAGTACCACAAATATGAAAGAATTAACCCGATTATCTCTAATTCAATTGAAATTAAGGTCCAAGTAGGAATTCATAAGCCATTTTTTACAATTTAAATATTACACCAAAATAAATATCTTGTACACAACATGCCGCAAGAATGGTTACATCAAGGAATGACGAGACGGGATAGATTTATCGGGTTGTGCAAAGCATTTAAATCTGCATTAATTTGGGTACAAGTCAACTGCAAGGCACTCTTGTTAGCTTCTGAAGCTAGCCAGGTCTTTTCTATGCGAGGCCACTTGTTTTCTAATTAGTGGCCGTTTTTAATATCCGCATTTAGTGGCTCCCACA